TCGAAACCGGTTATTCACTCCAAAAGAGACAGGCAGGCAGGATCCTAATGTCCTGGTGGGTCCTCGCAGAGCCGTCTTAGTTCTGGCTTTGCCACTCACTCAGCCTGGCCGTTGTAGCTTGAAAACAGCCACAAGCAGATGTAAGCTAGCTTGGCTGCATTCCAGTAAGACCATGGCCACAGGAATTCCAGTTTCATACAGTTACTACATGCCATGAAATCTAATTATTTTTCTTTCATTTTTTTTCCTCCAACCATTACAAAATGTCATACCAAAAAAAAAAAAAAAAAAAAAAAAGGACTGCCGGATGGATTCAGACCCCAGGCTATAGCTTGTTGCCTCTTGCATTTACAGGCAAAGCCTGCGGACAGCTTCCCAAGACTGAGAACTAAACAGACTTGATCTGACACTTTGCATGCCCTGTGGTGTCTCCGTCACAATTGCGAGTAGATAAAAGGCCTGGAGCAGGTGGCATGTGTCACGGGACATAAAATGTCACGTGAAAATATTCCCAGCATCCTTTCAAACAAGACTGTGGCTTCCATCTATCAGAGTGGCCGAGATCTCCAAGTTGCGTGCTGCTCCACTTTGGGGTGCTGTGGGTACTACCTGTGTGGCTGGTGGGAGGGTAGTGTAGTATTAACTTCTAGTTGGGCACGATCTAGCCAGAAATTCTCCCAGTGTGACCTGATATAGAGGCAAGGAGATTCAGCTGGGCCTAGTAACCTATACCTGTAATCCCAGCACTAAGGAAGCTATGAGTTTGAAGCCAGCCTGAGCCACCCAGTGAGTTCTAGATCAGCCTGGGCTATAGTATGAGAGCCTGCCTCAAAACATAAAAACACATGAGGCTGGAAACATAAAAACACATGAGGCTGGAGAGATGACTCTGTGGTAAGAGCACTGGCTGCTCTTCCAGAGGACCTGAGTTCAGTTCCCAGCAACCGCATGGTGGCTCACCTATAATGGGATCTGATGCTCTCTTTTGGCATAAAAGCATACATGCAGACTAGAGTTTTCTTGTCCCACCTGGTCCTGCTGCCCTGCTTCATCCCCAAATACACACAGGGACGCTATGCTGGCCATTAAACTGTTGGCCGATGGCTAGGGCTTCTTACTGGTTAGCTTTGTCTTAACTATTAACCCATTTCTATTAATCTATGTATTTACACTGATGCTGCAATGATAAACGGCACACTTACTGAAAGTAAAAATAAGTATTTATTGTAGAAATTACTCACAAGAGACAAGTAACCCAGATGAGCCGAGTAGTTTTCCACCGCCAAACTGGAAGCCGGAAAGCCGGAAAAAGAGAGCTAGACTTCCACTGTTCAGTCTTTTATACCTTCCTCTGTAACGCCCCTAGCCATGCCCAAAAGTGGGCCTGGCTAGTGATGTAGTTCACCGCCTACGTCCATATACATCCTTAGTCATGCCTAAAATGGGTGTGGTTAGTGGTGTGGTAAACTGCCCTTTTATTACTTCATCTGTATGCACTGCTAGTAAGTCACATGGTTAATGGCGGAATACTATTTCCTCCTACATGACACAAGGCTGTGGCTTACCTGTAATCCGTCATGTTACTCCTTCCGCAGCATGGCATCTCCTTGCTGTCCCTCTCTCTGCCTACCTTTCCCAGAATTCTCCTCGTCTCCTAGTCCCGCCTATCTTCCTTCCTCCATTGGCCAAACAGTGTTTTATTCAGCAACTAATAAGAGAAACATATATACAGAAGGACATCCCCCATCGCAAGGTCTCAACATGTATCCCATACTTGCCCAGAACTCATAATTCTCCTCCTGCCTAACTTTACTGCATCCCTGCATATGACATTGCAACACGTCTGTCTTTCTCTGTCCTGCCAGCCAGCTCCCAAATAATGACACAGAGACTTCCTGTTAACTATGAAAGCTCGGCCTTAGCTTAGGCTTTTTCTTTACTAGCTCTTATAACTTAAATTAACCTGTTTCTATGAATCTACATGCTACCACATGGCTTGTGGTGTTTACTCGCCTCCTGCATGTCCTGGTTCCTCTGTGTCTAGCTGGCGGCTCTTCCTTTCTTTTCCGAGCTCTCTCTGTCCAGAAGTCCCGCCTATGTGTCCTGCCTAGCTATTGGACATTTAGCTCTTTATTAAACCAGTTACAGTAACATGTCTTTACACCATGTGATCAAATATCTTGAAACATGCCATCACACCTGACAATAATTGAGAAAGCTTAGGCACCAGGAAGATGATTTAGTGCAGTGGTTCTCAACCTTCCTAAATACAGTTGTGATCCCCCCTCCAGCCCAGCTGTAAAAGTATTTCGTTGTTGCTTCATAACTGCAATTGGGCTATTATTATGAATCACGATGCAAATATCTGATATATGATCCCTATGGGAGTACGACCCACAGGTTGAGATCTAGTGGTTTATCAGGTAAAGGGGTTTTCTGTGAAAACATGGGGACCTGGGTTCAAATCCACAACACCCATGTAAAAAAGCTGGTCATAGCTATGCGCACACTGGTAATTCCAATGTTGGGGGTGGGCAGAAACAGGAGGTGGGTGGAGCATTGCTGGCCTCGGTCCTAGGTTCACCGACAGACAGTGTCTCAAGGGAATAAGGCAGAGAATAACATATAGGCACATGAATGCATGCATCCCCACCCCCAGTCATACATAAACACTCCTCATCCCCGCCATAGAGAACACTTTTGATTCAGTGACCCAAAAGAAGTGATCCCTAAGAGGTGCTAAGAACACACACTTAAGAACGATACTTGTCTATATCATACATAAAATAACTCTGAAGAGCATTTATAAGAAACTACTGTAATTCTTGCCTCCAAGGAGTGTAACAGGGTAGCTTGGAAATAGTATGAAAATGAGACCATCTGACTCTGTTTCAGAGTCTCCCTGTGGCTGGTCCTTCACTTATGAGTTATACTAATTCTCCTTCCTCAGCATCCAAGCTTCGGGGTGTACAGTGGGCACACGTCACCAGGCCTGGCTGAGATTTCCCATTCTGTATTCTCTCTCCCTCTCTCTCTGTCTCTGTCTCTCTCTCTCCCCTTCTCTCTCGTCTCTCTTTCTCTGTCTCTCTGTATCTCTCTCTGTGTGTGTGTGTGTGTGTGTGTGTGTGTGTGTGTGTGTGTGTTTTGGCGTGGGTGGTATGGTTCAATGCACCCCAGGATGGCCTCTAACTTGCTGTGTGGCAGAGGCTAGTCATAAGTTTCTGATCCTCATGCCTCCATCCCACAAGTCCCAAGACTACAGGCATGTGCCACAATGCCTAGCCACCATTGTAGTTTTGAGCCCATGTGAAGATGAACGTACTTACTAAAAAATAGATAAAAAATTAATAAAGTTCATCTTCGTGGCCCTGGAAGCCACACAATATGGAAACTTAGTTAATTGTATTTACTCATTTTCAAGTGATAATCCAGGGCATCTTGGGTTCTGTGGTATGAACTTAGAGTAACTGAAGATGGAGGTTTCTGTCCCTCCAGGTCCTACTGCCCTTCAACCCCAAATAAACAGAGGCATATTAATTATAAAATTGTTGGCCGATGGCTAGGGCTTCTTACTGGCTATCTCTCTCTTAATTATTAATCCATTTCTATTAATCTAAGTATTTCCACGTGGTCTTATCTTACCGGAGAATGCCCAGACCTGTTACTTCTTCCTCGGCTACGTGGCGTCTCCTCTTGGCCTCTCTCTCTCCCCAGCATTTTCCTCGTCTCCTAGCCCTGCCTATCTTCCTGCCTCACCTGGACAATCAGTGTTTTATTCATCAACCAATAAGAGAAACACATATACAGAAGGACATTCCCCCATTAAGTAATTCTTTTCACAATGCTGTCTTCCGTCTTCCATCCCCTTCCTTGGTTATGTGTGAAAAATGAACGATGGAATACTAACAGTCACTTTACCTTGGCATTAGAATGTTTAAGTCAGATTACCTCTGGATTAACTGCTCTTCCAGGTCTTCCTAACCAGTATACTAAAATTGGATTTCTTCAGCCTTAGAGCACAGATGTGGGGGAGGGTTGGGCAGAGTGCCCAAGTGGCAGCTTCTTTTAGTAGTCCTGCCCCTTAGCTCCTAAGGTTCTCTACAAATATTATTTTCAACATGGACAGTGGTGTAGGAAGTTTGAGAAATAATGTCACATGTTGCTCTTCCAGAGGAGTTGGGTTGTATTCCTGCCACCTACATACATGGCGACTGTAACTCGAGGTGTCTAGGTAACTCCAGTACCACGGGATCTGATGACCTCTTCTGGACAGTGTGGGTACTGCACACATGTGTTGCACATACATACATGCAGGCAAACACCCATATGCATAAAATAAAAATAAATAAATATTAAAGGAACCTATATGCTGCATTTAAAAAAATCATAAAGTAACAAATCAAGTAGTTGTGCTCTTTGGGGAGGTCTAAGTAATGGTTTGGCCCAGCCCAGGAGTCCTTAGAATGTTTTCCAGACTAAGGGAAGCAGACCAGGAATTTCCCTGCAGTGGTCATTAGTGCAATCCTTAAAACCTCCCCCAGCCTCAGTGTCTCCCACACAAGTCTACTGGGGAGGGTGTAAAAGAAGGGTCACATTTTGAGACTTTTTTTTTTGCTTTCTGGGAACAGAATCCATACTTGAGGACCATTGTCCTCAAAGAATATGTAAAGTCTCACGTGGTTAGATCAATTTAAGCTAACTTCACACCACCAAATAGGAGAGAAATTTCTTTTTCAAGTGCTAATGATGGCTAGAAAACAAAACAAAACCCTACTCCTGTAGGCTAATGCATAAGGGCCTTTTGAAATTCAGTTATCACCATAGTACTTACTGTCTTGTTGCCGTCCTGGTGGGTCTGATGATGTTACCACTGTCTGTTCTTCATGTTTTCTGGAAAAGTGACTGAATTAATATGTCAGTGTAGTACTATCTGAAGAATCTGAGAGCTATTAAAAGGCTTAAAAATAAAGTGATCAATTCTTTCTTTGTTCTCTTGACAGGATAATTGAAGCTATCTGCATAGGCTGGTTCACTGCAGAGTGCATCGTGAGGTTCATCGTCTCCAAAAACAAGTGTGAGTTTGTCAAGAGACCCCTGAACATCATTGACTTACTGGCAATCACGCCCTATTACATCTCTGTGCTAATGACAGTGTTCACAGGCGAGAACTCTCAACTCCAGAGGGCTGGAGTCACCCTGAGGGTCCTCCGAATGATGAGGATCTTCTGGGTGATTAAGCTGGCCCGGCACTTCATTGGTCTGCAGACATTGGGTTTGACTCTCAAGCGATGCTACCGAGAGATGGTTATGTTGCTTGTCTTCATCTGTGTTGCCATGGCGATCTTTAGTGCACTTTCTCAGCTTCTTGAACATGGGTTGGACCTGGAAACATCCAACAAGGACTTCGCCAGCATCCCCGCTGCCTGCTGGTGGGTGATCATCTCCATGACTACAGTTGGCTATGGAGATATGTATCCTATCACCGTGCCTGGAAGAATTCTTGGAGGAGTTTGTGTTGTCAGTGGGATTGTTCTGTTGGCATTGCCTATCACTTTCATCTACCATAGCTTTGTACAGTGTTATCACGAGCTCAAGTTTAGATCGGCTAGATATAGTAGGAGCCTCTCGGCTGAGTTTCTGAATTAATGTGTTGCAAATCAATCCTTGCTCACACTTCATTTGATTGAGAGTTGACATGACTTCTTATTCCTGTGTTTCTCCCTGGGTGAGCTGTGCAGTAGCATTGTCGTCGTGTTGGTGGGGTGAACGATATTCTTTCCAGTTGGAGGGATAAAACAGTCTCCTTGTGGAGTAAGCAGGACAGGGACCACACACACAGAGTGACACCGAGAGTAAACTTTGGTTCCTGGCTTTGTTTGGTCTTGGCTTTGCCTTGGCTCTCACAGCTCTGTTGTTGTGGGATGTTGTTGAGCACATTATTTGAACACTTTAAAGACACCATTCTCCAAAAGCTTTTCCGTCTTAACGAATTCAGAAGAAGCTTGGAACTTAACAGTGTTATTTTTGAGACTAACATTTTCGTTTCTAAATGTTTTATAATTTCTCATATCAATGTCAGAAGTATCCTGGAAACATATGTCACATGTGGGAACTGTTTAACAAATACTTTAAAAAGTTGGCCCAAATTTAAACTGTATCGTGGAGCTAGAGACATGCAAAAATATTATTTGAAGAAACTTTGCACCCTTCTCTATCCTCCGCTTAGTTTTTGTGCCTGCCGCTTCCCTTACCTTAACAACTTCATGGGACCCCAAGTGCGTCTTTTCTCTTCCTAGCTGGGTTCCCCGCTCTCCTGAAATAACTTCCAAAGAGTGTGTGATAACGGAGAGAGTTGTGTTTTTTTGGGTAATCTTAGAATCCAACATTCAGATGGCCAAGATTTTCTAACATAAAATGATAACAGAAATGGTTTGACACTCTCAGTGTTAGAACCCATAACTCTCCACTTTCCCCTCAGTCCCACGCGTTTCAAAGACGAGAAGGTACTTATTTAGCCTTTGGCACAGCAGTCACACTTGGGTGTTGTCTAGTGAAAGGAGAAATGTTCCTTAGGTTGGTGTCACTCTTAGCCAGCAGTGAAGACACAATCGTTGGTCCTCATCCCCCATCACTGTGAATCAGTTTACACGGAAACCCTTCTTGTCAGGGTCTCAGCGAAGCGGCCGCTTTGCTCCATCAAGGTCACTAGTGTTGAGCTGCTCAAAAGCGATGGCCCTTTAGCGCTGAATTTTCACACTGCAAATGAGACTGTGGAGTTTCCGATACCACCTTAATAAAGAAATCACGTGAGCCACACTATAAAGTCAAAGTCACTGACTCACCGATCATTTAGTTCACGTACTGCGATGGTCAGGGCTGAAGGAAATGGGTTGAGGCCCGGATGTACTTCTCAAAGGAAGAGTTGACGGAGGTGTCCACTGAAGGGAAACTAGCCTTCGCCATTAAGGGGAAGAGAGAGCTGCGTAAGGAGTTGGGGCTGTTGTAAGCAGGCAGGGCAATTTATTCTGCACACATTTCGTCATAGGCCTCTCTTCTTATTGCCGTGATCAGGTAATAATAATAGCACAATTGTTTCCTTTTCTCTAATTCCCTTTCCTGAATTCATGTGAAACCGGTCATTAAAAACAAAACAAAACAAAAAAACCTCATTGTTTCTTTCCTACTACCTTCACGGTGTGCTAGCTTCACACACTGGATTGTTATTTATGTATTTTTGTTGCATTTTAGCTGAACATATGGCATAGTTTTATTTATTTTTAAGCTTTGTGATTTATGCAAATCGTATGCAGATGATAGCTCATCTATATTATTAGTAAGAATATGGTAACCTTTAGTTTTACTGGCTCTGGGGTACTTCATGTGAATATGTATTACCTCTCCAAGCGACTCAGTACTGTTGTGAGCTGGGACCCTCGAGGGCACACACACACACACACACACACACACACACACACACACACACACACACACACTGTGATGTCCTCACACTGAGTGTCATAGAAGGGCTGATGTGTAACAGAAATTGATATGAAGAGACCAGGGGATGTATGTGACTGCATGTGCAGATGACTAGCTACACGTGGGAATCCACATGTGAGCTGTGAGTTGCTTTTAGGTAGCAAGTGATGATGCTGGGCTTTTCATGGGTGCTGGCTTTCATCAGGAAGTACCTTGAATGTTGCTAACAGCTGTCCGGCTACCTGTTTATTCACAAGGAGATGAGACACGATAAATTGGTTCATTCATAAATCAGCAAATACAACAGAGTTGATCTGTCCAGGCTGTAGGATGAGGTAATGTGTCCGGGACAGGCATTTTCTTGCAGCTTTCTCTGGGTATCACTGATTTTTGCTTCATTTATTTATTTTTTCATTTGTTTTCTTGCTTTTTTTGGAGATAGGGTCTCTTGCTATGTACATAAGGCTGACCGCAAACTTGTGATAATCCTCCTGCCTCTGCCTCCCAAGTGCTAGAAATTCAGGTGCATGCCACAGCATCCAGATGCTTCAAAAACAAACCCAGGACAGGTGGTTCAGTGTTGAAGAGCAGTCACTGCTCTTGCAGAAGACTGGAGTTTAGTTCCCAGCGCCCACATGGTGGCTCAGAACTGTCTGAAACTCCAGTTCCAGGGGATCTGGCGCCTTCTTCTGGTCTTTATGAGCTTCTGCACACGTGTAATGAACATATACTCACACAGGTACGCAGACACACACACATGCACATAGATTTTAAAAATAAATGTATCATTTTTAAAAATCGCCAGGGTGATATCTTATTCTCAGATGTACTTTAGTATTCTTCACAGTTTGCTCTTTAGGGTAGAAATGTCTTCACAAAGACCCACAGCCACCCCGAGAAGTCAGATATCTTCAGTGAGAACACTGAAAAGAAAAAGATGCCCAATTCTTTATTGTGACTATACTGCGTTTGAGCATATGTGAGCAATTGCTCCTATATGTCACTTAATTTGTATTCCCTGAAACAAGGGGTTGGGAAGACTGGAAAAACAAAATTAGGGAGTATGTGTAAAAATGAGTCTATAGCCAGGCGGTGGTGGCACACGCCTTTAATCCCAGCACTCGGGAGGCAGAGGCAGGCGGATCTCTGTGAGTTCGAGGCCGGGCTGGACCGATAGCCTCTGAAACAATACAGAGAAACCCTGTCTTGTAAAAACCAAAAAAAAAAAATGAGTCTATAACGCAATAAAATCTCCTTTTTGTTGTTTTTTGTTCATTTCTCTCTTTTTTGAGACAGAGTTTGTCTGTGTAGCCCTAGCTGTCCTGAAACTCACTCTGTAGACCAGGCTGGCCTTAAACTCACAGAGACCTGCCTACCATCTGAGTGCTTGTATTAAAGGCAAACACCGCCACACCTAGTCTTTTGTTTCTTTTTTTTATTATTATTACTTTTGTTGAGTTGCTTGTTCAAACAATTCCATTTGTTCTTGGGGTTAGTAGTTACATGTGATTGCATGTTTGTAAATTCTTACTTAAAAATGTTAAAAATCTATTCATCATAGTGACTGCTAGTTTATCAAAGTAATACTTTTTTTTTAAAAGTGCATTTATTTAGTTGGGTGGTGGTGGCACATACATTTAATCCTAGCACTCTGGAGGCAGAGGCAGGGTGAACCTCTGTGAGTTCGAGGCCAACCTTGTCTATAAAGCTACACAGAGAAACCCTGTCTCGAAAAATCCAAAAAGAAAAAAAGAACATTTATTTATTTTACTGTGTATGTAGTATGTGGAGGAGGAGTGGGGGAGGGAGAGTCTAGGTAAGAGAAAAGTTTACAGGCTCTGTTCTCTGTGTCAACCATGTGGTTTCTGGGGATTGAACTCAGCACGTCTGGCTTGGCAACAATCACCTTTACCGGCTGAGCCACCTCCTTGGCCCTTTTAAGTCTTTGTGCGCACATCCTGCCTGCATCTCTTGTGGTCCTCCAGAGTGGAGGTAGGCTGAAGTTGAATGCAGATGTATGGAGAACTTTCTTAGTTGGTTTGCTATTTTCTAGAAGAAGCTTGTTTTTCCTTTTTCACAGAAGCGAAGATAAAGAACTGAAAACTCCTAGTTCCACTATACTGCCAGGCTTTGCACCTTCATGCTTAGCACACAGGGACAGAGTATTCCCCTTTGGCCCGACCTAGGTGTGTGATAAAGCAGACCAACCACCCAGTCAGATCTGCAGTAATGTCTACAGGCTCCCGGGAAGTTAGGACTATACAGATGCTGGGGGCCTTCTGGTCGACCTTGCCCCAAGGTCTACACACTGTATCCTACCCAGACTCTAGCAAGAGCAGAAGTCCAGACTGCTGATTCTTTTGTCTATTCCTTCCTTCCCACCCCACTTTGTTCTTTGTTTTTAATTTTGCAAAGTTAAAGGTAGGGAGGATTTAAAAAATAGTTTCTTTAGGGGCTAGAGAGATGGCTCAGTGGTTAAGATCACTGGCTGCTCTTACCAGTGACCTGGGTTCAGTTCCCTAGCATCCACTTGGTGGCCTACAACCTTTCCTAACACTGGGTCTCTGTCTCTGTTTCTCTCTGTCTCTCTGTCTCTGTCTCTGTCTCTGTCTCTCTCTCTCTCTCTCTCTCTCTCTCTCTCTCTCTCTCTCTCATCTCATTATATAGCTCTGGCTATCCTGGAACTCACTGCCTCTGCCTCCCAACCCCAGGCTAGTCTTGACCTAGTGACTCTCTGGTGTCTACCTCCCAAACCCTAAAATTACAGGCATATGCCACCATGTCCAGAAGGAACTCACACGTTGAAGGGATGTTTTGTCTTTTTTTCTATCTCTTCTTTCTCATGAGACCTCACCCCTTTTCCATGCCCAGTGCTGGAAACTGACCTTATACATGCTCAGCAAACACTCTTAGCACTGAGGCACTCTCCTAGCCCATCAGTAGATTTTTAGAAAAGCTCCTCTGTGTGTGTGTGTGTGTGTGTGTGTTTGTGCAGGCAGTTGGCTATTGTTGTTGCATTGTTTAGGACAGCCACAGCTGAGCAGGAAGCTCTGATGGAGAGCTCTGGACCGGCTCCAGTTGGTCTGGGAAAGCTGCATACACTCTGTTCAGCGAGCATTCATATGGTGTTTGCTTCCTCCCTTTCTAGAACCCATCTGCACTTGTGGGAATGGGCATGGCAGTTCTGGTTCAGAAAGAAAACTAATGCTTTACTGTCTCATTTGTTGTAGAGCCTTCCATAGACTTGTGAAGTGTCACCAAGTATGGTGACGATACGCCACTGGTGACAACTTACATGCACGCTTTTAGATTTCCCAGTTCTTTCAGGCATTCCTGGAAGCACATTAACCTTTCTTCTCCTACTGGGCATTGGACCTGGGACCTCAAGCATGTTGGTCATGCACACTACCACTGAACTACACCTCCCAGGAGTCCACTTTAGCTTCTGAACTTTCCTGTAGGCTTAGCGGCCAGTTTAGGGGCTGGAATGTGACAATCCGAATTTATACTGCATTTTAGGGGATAGGAGGGACAGCTTTTAGTAAGTTTGGAAACCAGGAAGCATGAATCTTTCTTTTAGAGACTTCCGGTTGTTCTTGGTCTCTTGCATTTCTATATGAACTTTAGAGTTGTGTCATTTTTTTTTCTTTTTAAATTTAATTTATTAATGTTGTGGTGGGTACCCTCGGGAACCGGCTCTCTTTCTACTGTGAGATCTTGGCGTGGAACTCAGGTTGTCAAGCCCTCAAGGCAAGCACTTATACACACGAAGCAGTCACATTGGCCCAATGTATCATTTTCTCTTCATGAAAGACAACTGGAAGCTTTATTCGCTAAAAAAAATTTTTACAGTGTCTAACTAGCCTATATGAACTTAAAGTCCAGGCTAGTGTTGAACTTAGTTCTCACTCTTGACTCAGCCTCAGACATGTTGGGTTACAGGAATGTACTGCCACATGCAACTGCTGGTAGTTAAAATGTTGGCATGGTATGGATCTCATCAAATCTATGCCATCAATTGAGATAGTATCACCGTCTTAACAGTGGTAAGCGTTCCAACCCATGAACATGGACTGTCTTTCCATTTGCTTCTTAGGACAGAGATTCTTACCTTTCCATGTGCATTTTGGTTTAATTTATTCCTGTGTCTTCTTTGTTTTCTCTGTGTGTCCATGACATCCTGGAGCTCGCGCTGTAGACCCAGGATAGTCTCCAATTCAAAGATCTGCCTCCCTCTGCTGATGCTATTGTAAGTGGAATTCCCACCCCATCCTATCCCCCCTCCCTTTTTTTAAAGATAAAGTCTCTATGTGGCCATGGCTATCCTGGAACTCACT